AGACACTCATAAAAGCACGATTACAGAAAAATGTGAAACAAACAGCGCAAGCGTCTCCAGACCAAGAAGAGTAAGTTCAGGATGGTAAAGTAATGCAGCTGAATATTGTTCGATGCTCAATGTTGCAGAAAACCGGCCGAAAAGTTGAAAACGTTACCAAGGAAGAAACGAACTCGCAGTATAGATGGAAAATTAGTGGAAGAAGAAGAAGATTCTGATACGTTAAAAGGTGTAGCAAGCATACAAAATTACCCAGAAGAAGGCACTCAAGTTCAAGATCTTCCGAAAACGGAGCCTGTGAATGCCAAATAGATCATTTTCCTGGATCTGCTTCCTATAACTCATATTACTCCTTTAGCAACTCAAATCATTTGTTTAATACGATTCATTACTGTGATCAACTCTATGGAATGCATTGTATGTTAACTTCAAATTCCATTAAAATTTTGGGCAGAATATTTCATTGATAAATTGGAAATAAAACCTTGCGTTTTGATGTAGAGCATGAATAGAAGAAGTAAGTGAATAATATAGGATATTCAACTTCGGGTCTCATCCGGTAAGGGGGGAGGGCATTGTGATGCAACGTCAAGTGGCTGCCCTCACCACGGGGTCCCGTACTTCGAGAAACCTGTGCGCCAGGGGGAGTGTAGGCAGTCTAGGGGGTGGGGGGTGAGGGCAGCCACTTGATGCCCCCCCCCTTACTGGATGAGACCCTCAACTTCTATTCAGGATCATGGCTACATGGGAAAGCTCACTGGCGGCGCGACGCGTTCGCGTGCTGGTGACGTCACAGCGGCGATGAGGGTACGAGCAAGGGCCGGCACTGCCATCAACCACTTTAGTACCTTAAAGGCACAACCCAGGCAGAGGTCGTGTGAACGCTTCTCTTCGGTCTGTAGTATAGACCCCTAGAGGACAATCACAAATGTGGCGTTCCCGTGCACGGAAACCAACCGACAAGAGCGCTTGGGCCTTGCAAAGTAAGCTGCTGAAGCTGCAGACTTGTCTGGCGCTCTCTCATCTGTAGCGCTCTCTCGCCTCATACTCTCCTCTCCGCGCTTAGTCTCTCATTCCCTTAGCACAGCCGATTAGGAAGGTGAGTGAGCCCTTAACCTAAGCGTTTTTGACGGATTCTTTTCCTTTTTTCTTTACTGCCGGCCCACTTCGCACCAATACATTCGCATTCGTGTGCAAGAGCCACACCAATGTGATCCTGGGGCATGCCTTTAAGTACTACAAGCATCTACCACTCAGTTTGTGCTTACCACGTTGACGACAGTTCGCCGCCGCCTTTTTTGATCATTTGATCTCAGCTCACATCCGTAAATGATGACAATTGAACAAACATGATCTTCACTTCCAAGCAATAAGACAAGCCGGTTTTAACAGTCCGATGAGTGACCGCTACCGTAATCCACGTTGGCACTGGAGCGCGCAGCTACACTACTGCTGTGTACCCACACGTTTCAGCACCAACGTGAGAGGGTATATGGAATGCCTCGCAAGGCGAGTGCACAATACCTTCCAAACATCACAGCCACCCTTGGGCGGCTATCCAAAATTCCGATGTCGTATTCGTGTCAGGACACTCAATAACCCTAGAGGCGAATGTTTAGAATAAAGATTTTCTAACCATTGTTGGTGTTGTAACAGTGCCAGGAATATTTCTGTCGGGGTACCCCCAGGAGGCCCGTCGCGCGGCAAGAAGGCAGAGTCGTCGGACGAGTTGCAGCGCGTGATGTGCGATGTAGGACGTGCAATGGGACACTCTATTTAACTTGACGCGAAATCCCTATAGTACGCGCGCGACTCGTCCGCTGACTTTGCCTTTTGCCGCGCGACGGGCCTCCTGGGGGTACCCTTCTGTCGAGTAGAACATGCTATGTAGGTTCATTCTTGGATTTCAGTGTTTTCATTGGTTTTCCATGGCTATTCGCTGAACTGATAGAACGCCTCACTCATACGTCGTTAAACCGACACCCAAAAGGCGCAATTGTAGCTCGGAGGGCGGGGGGGGGGGGTGGAGCAGTCGCCGCCTGCGGCGCGTGGCATGTTCACTTACCTCAGCGTGGAGTGGGAAATCCGCGAGCCAGAGTATGTAGCCAGTGTAGAGAGAGGGGTGGGGGGCAGAGTCAACCCTGCGTTGCGCAGTTCTCAACGGCCACGTTGCGCAGTTTCGCCCGATTAGACACGTTCTCTCGCGCGAACATTCACACTCGCATGCTCGAGCCGTCTGTGTCTCCGCCCATACAGCGTGCGTTGAGGATCTCTCAACGTGCCGTTGCGAACTGCGCAACGCAGGGTTGACTCTGGTGGGGGAGGGGGGATGTGAGGCAGTCATTTGACAATGCGTGAAAAGCTGAAATGTTGGCCACATTGAGCCCTCAAGTCCTTTTAGTGTAGGGATCTTTCGAGCGGCTTCGATCGGCAGTTTCAAAGAGTAAACCTCGTTGCTGGCGTGTACGACTGCACAGATTCTTGTTCCTCTTAACTTTCCCATTGACGTCATTCCTTGGGTGTGGTTCAATAGGACATTTTCGCGTTTTGCAGCGCGAAACATTTTTCGCTGTAGGAACCTAAGATCCACGCTGATCATGAGTGGACCCGAGGTTCCACAGCGGAAAAGAAAAAAGTCGCTCTCCCAACTATGAACCACACCCTCATTCCATCAGGAAATTGCCGTCGAGAAACAATTCAGTGCAATTGCGTACAAGGCGCGAACATGAACGGCGCGCCAAACTCAACTGCAGCGGATTTGAAACTTGACTGCATGCTCAGCTTCTGCTTTTGTACTGGTGCACTCGTGGATTATCGCATCGACTTGAAGTCTTTTGTCGCTCTCATTGAGCGTTGTTTTTTCCCTGTTACTCTACTTTGACGCTTTACTTTCGTATACTCTTTCATGATCTAAATGCGATACATACTTTCCTGGCTGGATCGGCCCCTATTGAGCTTGATCAAGGTCAGTGGGCTGCGTGCAAGAATATTCCGGCACATTTCGTCGATGTGAGTTGAAAATTCTCTTTCATATTCGTTCAAGATAGGAGCAAAAACAATGTGGCTCGAGGGGTGGGGGCACTCGCCCGCGCGATCGCTGCTCGTCCGCGCCCTGTAGTACTAAGCCTAGGAGTGGGCAGGAACTTTGGGAAGATGAAAATTGCTATGATCCTGGAGTTCCTCCTCCCCTGCCCGAGGCTTAGTCCCGATTTAGCGAAGAGGAAATGCTTACACAGAAAAACGCAGAGATCGCGCGCGGCGACTGGCCCTCCTCGAGCCGCATTGCGCCCAAAAAGCATAGAGAGAATCGGCAGGGGGAATAAGGTTTCCGCCGTGCTTTCGTAGAGTGAGTGCAGTACAAATTGTTTTAGCAGAAGGAATCTCTCCAGTGCTTCTTGAGATCGTTGTCCTTATCCTCAACAAAAAGATTACTGATTAACTGCTAATCAATATATGGCCTTGGAGACACGAGGCACTGCATTTTTGATCCCAGTTATCGTTCGAATAGGAGCAGAGGATCATCTCATTTTTTCATAGGATTTTCAGTGAAACTCGGGTTCGGGGGGGGGCACGCGATGGCGCGGCGCTCTGTTCGTCTGCTCCTCCAAGGCTTAGTCCACAGGGGCAGTTACTATTTCGCCATCATGTGGCAGTTTCAAATACGCGCCATCGGTGACTAAGCCTTGGAGAGCAGACGAGAACAGCGCCGCGCCATCGCGTGGCCCCTCTAACTAAGATAACACCAGGGTAGGTACGTATCGATGGTCCAAACCTTCGACGCTCGTTGTGTCGCATGGATAATACGTATCTAGCCCACAAGCGGTTGCGCAACCGGACCGTCGGTTCGACTAAACTATAGCTGCGGCCTCATCAAGAAAGTTGTCAAATATGGATGCAAATTGATAACGCAAGTCCGGATTCTCTAACTGGAAAAGTGTTTCAAGTTCTAATGCAACTTTGAATTGAGACCGAGGTAAATCGATAGAGCCTAGAACGTTGGCTACAAGTATGAAAAACACAACTGCCGCGCGAACTTGCCTAGGAAATTGTGAGCGATTTATTACGCTTCCCTTGTTATAGATTCGCGTGTATAACGATAATTTGAAAAGCCTATTAGCAAGGGATTCTGATGGTTGGATCACGAAGATGACATCCATTCTTGGCACTGACGCCATTTGCCCCAGTCTGGAAGCGTCAACCTAGAATGCCAAATTTTGCAGCACGAGGAATCGAACTTGGGACCACTGTGTTCGCTAACAATTTCCGTGACACGTTCACGTAGCAACTTTTGTCTTCACGTACATATGTAACACCATCAAAGGCTCTATCGATTTCCTAGGTGTCAATTCAAAGCTCCATGGGTAGATGGAGCCCTTTCCTGATAAGTAGGAGGATGGCGAATTCCGTGAAACCCACTGTAAACCCAACTTTGCTAATGGAGAAAGCTCGGGATAGGTGTAAAGTGAACGAAATGGATCATGCTCCAGTTGTCAATATGGATGCAAATTGATAACGCAAGTCCGGATTCTCTAACTGGAAAAGTGTTTCAAGTTCTAATGCAACTTTGAATTGAGACCGAGGTAAATCGATAGAGCCTAGAACGTTGGCTACAAGTATGAAAAACACAACTGCCGCGCGAACTTGCCTAGGAAATTGTGAGCGATTAAAGTTGGCTGTTAATGCTCGGCGTTGATTATAAACGATATTTGAAAGCCTATTAGCAAGGGAATTCTGATGGTGGATCACGAAGATGACATCCATGTCTTGGCACTGGCGCCATTTGCCCCAGTCTGGAAGCGTCAACCTAGAATGCCAAATTTTGCAGCACGAGGAATCGAACTTGGGACCACTGTGTTCGCTAACAATTTCCGTGACACGTTCACGTAGCAACTTTTGTCTTCACGTACATATGTAACATCATCAAAGGCCTCTATCGATTTCCTTGGTGTCAATTCAAAGCTCCATGGGTAGATGGAGCCCTTTCCTGATAAGTAGGAGGATGGCGAATTCCGTGAAACCCATTGTAAACCCAACTTTGCTAATGGAGAAAGCTCGGGATAGGTGTAAAGTGAACGAAATGGATCATGCTCCAGCTATCTCTAAAAAAATATAAGGACGAATCGAGCAGCATGAGTTGCTGCGCCTAATCAGTTAGAACCCAGATTGGAGTTTCGACTGCAGGAATGTAGAGTGAGATTGTACAGTTTATTTATTTATTTATTTCCATACGTCCAGTGGACGTGCTCGGTAGATATACAGAGTATATTCAAATAGATTGATCAAACAGTTGTAGATATATCACCGGTTTCATCCATTCTGTTTTCAGTGGGATCTGTTTCATGTATTCCGTAGATTTGGTACTGTACATAATGTCAAAATTCCTTCCAAACAACTGCAATCAAATACCAAATACGGGTGAGCCTTTATATTCTTCCTTATTTCCAACTTACGTACAATAAGTTTCTCATAGGTTCGTCATAATGGAGAGCATGAATGGCGCTGATGAAGTTCGCAGTCAACTAAGAAACGGAAAGTATCTGAGCGTAGATAACGGGCTACAATTGCTGGTAAGTAAACAAGTAATAGAAGCAGTTCTCAGTAAAATTTCACAATTTGATACCATGACCACCTATGTTCAAAAGATGTGATTGAACTCAAAAGCTTTCCTTTTGTCTTAGGTTACTGGAGTGCGCCACGGAGAAAGTCAGCGATCGCGTGAGGAGGCTAGAGGAGAGAACAAGTTTGTCTAACTCTACGCTGTCGTTGTTCTGTTGCAATTTTATCTTGATTTTTCTAGCAGGCCTCCTTTGAAGGAGCTTCGTGGTGATGGCATGATGGTAAAAGGACGCTGCGGAGACAGGCTTGCGCCCCAAAAATCACAGCGCTCCTACACAGCAGTGAAGTGCTTTTCGCAGGACCTCCCTCTCCAGACTCCTACAAAAGTTGGCATTTTTATTGTGGATATTAAGATTGGTCAATGCGCACATTGTGTCACTTTTCCCTTCCACGTTTCCGTTTCAGGTTCGCGTTGTCGAGTCACCGTTTCCTTGCAAATCGATCAGCGAGGGTTTCGTGTTCCATGCTATTCCGATCGACCAGAAGTTGGGAGACGAGTATTCATGTCTCCAACGTGAAATGAACAAGTTCTGCTCGAGAAATCCAAATGTCAATGAGATTCCTAAGGTCAGTTGCGATCGATTCCGCCATCCATTGGTCATCTTGGTAGGCCATTTTCGCCGTAGTGGCTTCTGCAATTTTGCTTCCCTATCCCTTTCGTATTCGATCCAGTCCACAGCAGTAGTTTTAAAACTATTTGTGGCGTGGTACGTTAGGCTGGTGTCAGAGTCCGCGATCCGTCGCAGGTTTCGCTGATTTTCGCGATTTGCGCGAAACCTGCGACGGATCGCAAAAATTGCAAGTGCCCCATTTGAACATTTGAAACACTGAATATGAAACAAGTGGAATCATGAGCAGTCGTCATTCAGCCATCACTATCAAGCAGAAGTGGCGGCAGGATTGGAGAACACCTTGCAGTATTGATCGGGCACTTGTGATTTCCGTGACCCGTCGCGTGAATCGCGTGAATCGCGCAAATCGCGAAAATCAGCGAAACCTGCGACGGATCGCGGACTCTGACACCAATCCTTAGAATTAAGGGCTGTCAATGACTTGTTTTGTGATGATGTACAGAGATCGAAAATGACATTTTCAAAAAAAAACTTCCAGTACGTGCTTGGGGTCCCAGTTGAATTGGTTCTGCACTGGTTAAGTTGTCATACGCACCTGTATTCATGTATGTACCTTGTATTTCGGAATAAGGACAAACATCTCGGTTGAGGGCTCCCATCGCTAGAGCAGCAAATCATGTTAGATTCATTACCCGTTCGTTTTTCACTGGAAGTGGTGAGCCATTGTGTAGCCTCACGCGATATGCACAATTTTTAGTCACTTAATCAAATAGCTAATCCAAAGGAGACGTGTCTTCTTCTGCCTTGTATTGGGTTCCGAACGTGATTGCTCGGGCAAGCAGAGATACATGAGATACTAAGACGACATGACCCCCCCCCCTCTTTTGTTTGCGTGAATTTTCCACAGAAAAATAGAAGATTTATGCAATTATTTCGTGTTGTTACATATCTGTTTTGTGTTCAGGTTGGACAGTATGTGCTGTACTGTCGCGACACTATTGCCTTCCGAGCTCTTTGCAACAGTGACACGACACTATACCTGATTGATGTTGGTGAAGTGCTCCCCATTATTCGGTCACACATATGGGAGCTGATACCTTCTTTCACGGTCTTGCCCAGCTTGGCAAGTTATTTTATAGTACTATATCGTATATGCGGTTACTCCGCTTCTCGGATAGTCGTTGTAGACCATTTGACTTTTAGGTTATTCCTTGTGGCATCTTTGGTATATCATGGAATAAGCCAACGACCTCGACTTTTACCAGCTGCAGAAACGTTAGTTTTGAGTTTTTCACAGATTTTCGTTTCCAGTCATGCTGATACCGAAGGTTTCTGTTGCGGCTGAAAATACACTTGTTGCAATTGCGACCAAGTGAGTTACTCGAAAGAAATGGGAGTGCCTACATAAAAAAGCTTTTATACGAGAACAATCAATTTTTGGAGTATCTCACTTGATGAATCAATTAATCTCTCACTCCACTCGCGAGCCTGCTCTCGTCCGCGGCACGCGCTGCCACGCCCTGTCAAAAAGTTGTGGCCGTCTATTTCAGATGAATAGAGCCTGGTATATCTGCATGCACCTCACTTTCGCGGTGTTTTTCAATTTTGCGACGTGATCGTTTTGCTTATTCTTCAACTTGTCGGCCATTCTTCCATAGCAGTGTCTCTGATGTGTACTTATTTTTACTAGAGATTCTTCTGGGCATGGTTATGGAAGATTTGATTGCCATAGAAAATGTAAGTAAAAAATTGATGATCATGACGACCAAAAGAAGTCTACGAGAATACTTGGCAAAGACGCGGGTTTATCAGGGACACTGCTATGAAGAGAAGTTCGACAAATTGAAGAATAGGCAAACGTAATCAGGCATGGTCACAAAACTGCTTAAGTCATCACGAAAATGAAATTGCATACAGGAATTCTATGCAGTATCCATCTGAAATGGACAAATATGTAGTTACCAAGATCAACTGACCATACAGGATATTCCCTGCTTCGACCTTCTTGCAATCCTTGGCATGATTAGTTCAGTAGGAATGATTCTTCAAGCCTTTCAAGATTGAACTTTTTTATTAGGCTTACGTTTCGGCTTCTTCGCCTTCGTCAGAGCCTGAAATGGTCAAAAGCATATGTAACTTGCTCGCTCAAACGCCTCAACAAAAAACCAAGACTATTTCACTAGACTAGGAAACTTTCAAAGGTATTGATCGATAGAGGCATGGGACTGCTCACCTTAAACTCCGCCGCTAAGACAGGAGGACGACCACCCTCGTACTAACTTTAGTATGTGGTAACTAGTAGTACCTCCCACCGGCCTCCTAGTAGTAAAAAAGCTCAATCTCGAAACGCTTCAAGAATCATCTCTACTGACCATACAGGATCATGGCTTGAGGGACCAAAAAATAGGAACTAACTCGAATGATGATGTAATAGATGCAGACTTGAGCCAACAACTTCATAATCCGCAACTGCTGATGAAACTCAGTGATACAGGGATAGTGGAAAGGGATAGTAAAAGGCCTTAGCATCGTTGTCACAAGGATGCTGTGTCATAGTATGGTGAGCTCTCAGCGAAAGGTTCAGATTTACGCCTGGGGTGAAATGTTTAACCCACAGCCGACACACTTGTGATAACATTCGCATCGCGAACTGCAGTGGAAAACTACAGTTAGAAGCCAAAACACAACAAAGATTGTCCTTTGTCATGGAAAGTGAGCTAAAGGCTGTAACGAGAATTCGATTATTTTCATTCAGTGGAACCTACGCTGTTCGTTCTGAAAGTTTCGCCTACTGTTGACCACCTGCTATTCCTGTTGTCCATGACCACCGGATGAATAAGAGGGATAGCAGGTAGCGGTGCTGGAGTAGTCGTTGACCGTTGAACATCATTCATTCCAGAGCGTAGATCAAAAACTTCTTGTTTCTTGCCCTTGATCTTGAACATTTTAATTTCCTAGCAGCATGCGACACGACTGTTCACGTGAACGTCCCTTCCAATCTTGTTATTTAGTTCATATTGAATCACCGAGATCACTTCTCTACCATTTGGAAATTACATCAGTTCTTATCACGCTCACACTTGCGATGCATTTCCATTATTCAGGCACTGAAACAATGGTCGAAGGGCTGTCCGTCTGGTCTCATAGCGATTGCACAGGAATACTCGGGTCTTATTAATATGGTGAATGTTCAGGTTACTACGGACAAAGGTGAGTTTTGTATACTAGCCGATTTTGAAGATGAAGGTGAGGCTAGTTGATGCTTCATAAGAATTGAAGATGGAACGATTTTAGGAGTTGAAGAGAATTTCGCTTCGTCAATAGCTCAGAGAGGTCTCTGTACTTGTTTGTCCCACGACATGCGTGTTTATTCTCGCGAAGATTTGCTCGAAGCGAAAAATGCAAAGGTGTGTGAAATATAGAGTTTCGTTCTAAAAAGAAAGCCCTCTTCCAAAAAGATACATAGAAGGTACTAATTCTTCGAAAATTTATGTGATATTCCTCTTACGGTAAATTATCTCCCTAATGCCCGCTGCAAGTAGCCCTAGCAACTAGTAACTAGAAGTGTAAGATGCATGTCAGACTCGATGATTGCGAAGCCGCGTAATCGCTATTGCAAAGTGCAAAAACGACCGGAGCCTGGCTCCGCCCGTGATCGATACGGCCCGTCGGCAGGAATCCGTCACATGTTCTGATGTCGAAATCCCGGCAGATCGTATCGATTGTAGGCGGAGCCATCGCCAGTTGCTCTTGAATTTGCTATAGCGATTAGACAATCGCCGAGTCTGATCTCCACCTAATGGAAAATGTTCGAACGCAGTGATGCCTTTTTGGTTCACGGCTGGTCGCAACTTGGTAGAAAAAGGCTGCTCTTTGTTTCGTGTAGCGGTGGTCTTTTCAAAAACAAAAACTGTACAATAAGTGAGATGATATATCAGGCCATCATTCTACTTTTATTTCTTGATTCTACAATATATAGATGCATTATGATATACAGCTGAAGCTCTAACGTAAGTCGAACCCGTTCAGAATTCTCAAAGGAATTTACGAGTACGAAATAGAATGGATCATTTTCTAGAAATAAAACTTGTCAATATCAGGGGAACGATTCCCGTTGAATGTACTATGACTTGTATTCTAATATCTTTCGGTTGAATGGGCTGTAATTTATGGTGACTATCTTGGCATTTCTCAGCCCTATTTTTGGCATGCACAATTGCTTTGGCTAAAGGCGATGAACTCAGTTCCGCGTGTAATTGACTGCTGCGCGTTGTCATCTAGTGGCCGATGTCAGACTTTGCGATTGGAGCGATTTTGCACCAATTGCAGGAGCGACGGATCGCTTGAGCGATGCGAGCGACGGGAGATTTACACCGCCGACCACCGATACACACGGCGCCGCTCGGGTAAATCTCCCGTCGCTCGCATCCACTTGAGATGGGGCAATAGAAAAGATGGCTGTCGGGAAGGCAGTAGGTCTACATATGGTAACAATCTAGGTATGGAGGGCCCTTGAAGTAAACGGCACAAGGTGGCTCACTAGCTTCATGGACGTAACGATGGAAGAAAGAATGCCGGATGCGTGAAGAA